GGGATAGTCTGAATTCCTCCTAGCAGAAGCCCTTGGGCCAGGAGCAAACTCACCCCTCCTCCAATGAATGTCTGCTAGAAGTTCACTGTCTCTTGCTGGCCAGGAATATGGCTGAGCTGACACAGGGCCTGCCTTTGCTCAGGCAGGCTATTAAAGCACAGGAACTGCCCCTGCCAGGCTGAGCCCACAGCCCAGGCCCAGTGTGCAAGGGAGCAGCTCTGGGGAGATCTTGTGGCCCCAGGGGGAAGGGGGGAAGAGAGGAAGGTGTACCTGGATGAAGGCTGGGATGGGATTCGGGAGAGCTCCTCGGGGTGGAGCCACCACTGCAGGGTGACCAGAAAGTCGAGGGGGGGCGGGGAAAGTCTGAATTCCTCCTAGCCGAAGCCCTCGGGCCAGGAGCAAACTCACCCCTTCTCCAATGGATGTCTGTTAGAAGTTCACTGTCTCTTGCTGGCCAGTAATGTGGCTGAGCTGACACAGGGCCTGCCTGTCCTCAGGCAGGCTCTCAAAGCACAGGAACTGCCCCTGCCAGGCTGAGCCCACAGCCCAGGCTCAGCGTGCAAGGGAGCAGCTCTTGGGAGATCTTGTGACTCCAGGGGGAGGGGGGAAGAGAGGAAGGTGTGCCTGGATGAAGGCTGGGATGGGATTCCTGCCTTCCCTGTTTTTGAAGAGCCACAGAATCATAATAGGTGGTATGAAGCAGTACCTTATAAACAACTTAAGGATTTGGTTGAGGCTGCAAAAAATTATGGAGTAACTGCCAATTATACCATTACCCTATTGAGAAGGATTGCTGCAGTAGCGCTGATCCCCACAGACTGGCAGGAGATTGCGAGAGCAGCTCTTCCGCCGGGGCAGTTCCTGGATTTTAAATCTATTATCCAGGACAGAGCTCAGGTCCAAGCGCGCATAAACATCCAAGGTGGCCACCCAGAGTGGACAGCCAATATGCTTCTTGGACAGGGACCATTTGCTGGAAATCAGGTTAATTATCCTTTTGAAGTTTATCAGCAGGTTAATGAGATTCATTATAGAGCATGGAAATCCCTCCCTAATAAGGGTGAAACGGCTGGTAACTTAACCAAGATTATTCAAGGTGCTGCAGAGCCATTCTCTGATTATGTGGCTAGAATGATAGAGGCAGCTGAAAGAATGTTTAGAAATTTGGACACGTCCATGCCTTTTGTCCAGCAGATAATTTTTGAACAAAGCACCAAAGAATGTCAAAGAGCAATAGTTCCAGTAAAGGGAAAAGGATTAGAAGCCTGGATCAGAGCCTGCCATGGAGTTGGGGGGCCTCTAACCAATGCAGGGTTGGCGGCTGCTGTACTTGCTGCCACTAGAGGTGCCAGGGGAGATAGGGGAAAGGCATGCTTTAAATGCGGACAGTTGGAACATTTTAAAAAACAATATTCCAATAATAATAATGCCTCAGATTCTTCAGGACCCTCAGCAGTAACATCGCAGAGGCAGCCAGGCACTTGCCCCAGGTGCAAAAAAGGGATGCACTGGGCTAATGAGTGCAGATCAGTTAAGAATATAAATGGACAACTTATTCCTCAGGCTGTTCAGTCATTGTCAAAAAACGGATTGAGGGGCCCTTGTCACCAGGGCCCGAAAATATTTGGGGCAATTCAGAGCTCGATGGCAGTTCCCAATATGACTCCATCGTCCCAACAAGAAGGGCAGCCAAAGGCTCTGCAGGGCTGGACCTCTATGCCACCTCTGGACTGGTATTAACTCAGGATATGGGAGTTCAGGTCATAGAGACAGACATGTCCGGACCATTAGAACAAGGCACTGTTGGCATAGTCCTGGGACACTCATCCTCAATTATGAAGGGCCTAATAGTCCATCCTGGAGTCATAGACCCTGCTTATGAAGGCTGCATTAAGATTCTTTGCCATTCTCCATATGGGGTAGTTTCCATTGCCCCGGGAGACAGAGTGGCTCAACTCTTGGTTCTGCCCTCGGGGCATAATCAACTTCCAGCAGAAGGGTTTGTCCTAAAGGATAAAAGCCTTGCTTCTGTGGGAGTGGATTTGGCTTGTTTATCCTTGGAGCTTGATCAGCGGCCAATTTTAAATTTGGAAATAGAAGGAAAGGTTTTTTTCAGGCCTGGTGAATACTGGGGCGGATCGTAGTATTATCAGATCCCAGGCATGGCCAAAACGTTGGCCCTTACAACAAGCCTCCCAGTCCCTTCAAGGTCTGGGATATGCACATATGCCGCACATAAGTGCTAAAGAGTTGGTCTGGAGAACAGAGGATCAAAAGGGGACTATTCAGCCCTTTGTAGTTGATTTGCCCATTAACCTGTGGGGCCGGGATGTGCAGTCCCAAATGAGACTGAGACTTACAAATGATTACTCTGATGCCAGTAAACAAATGATGGCACGTCAGGGCTATGTTCCCAATAAAGGACTTGGGAAATGTCTTCAAGGTAGACAAGATCCTGTGGAGCCCGTCTCCAAATTGGATAGGAAAGGCTTGGGTTTTTCATAGGGGCCACTGAAGTCGTAGCTTCCAGACAAAAGATATTGCCCATCCCTTGGCTAATAGATAAGCCGGTGTGGGTCCCTCAGTGGCCCCTTTCCTTGAAAAAGTTGGAAGCTGTAAAACAATTAGTACAAGAACAGTTGGAATTAGGACATTTAGAACATTCTGTATCGCGTTGGAATACGCCTATTTTTGTAATCAAAAAGGCTTCTGGAGGTTGGAGGTTGTTGCATGACCTTAGGGCGGTCAATGCTCAGATGCAAGTTATGGGCCCAGTCCAACAGGGCCTCCCATTGCTTTTGACAATACCAAAGAATTGGCCGGTAATGTCCTTGGACATTAAGGACTGTTTCTTTTCAATTCCCCTGTGCCCTCAGGACTGGGAAAGGTTTGCATTTACTCTTCATTCTGTTAATAATGAACAACCCAATGCTCGCTTTCAATGGAAAACCCTCCCTCAGGGGATGGCCAATAGCGCCCTCATGTGTCAACTGTATGTGGACGCAGAATTGAGTCCTGTTAGGAAACAATTTCCTACCGTCAAGGTCATCCATTACATGGATGACATATTGTTACCTGCCCCCCAGCAGGGAATCCTGCAGGAAGTTTTCCAAAAGGTTACATCCCTTTTGGAGGACCAGGGACTCTACATAGCCTCAAATAAAGTGCAAACATCTTCAATGGTAAAGTTTTTGGGGACGATCATCACCCCTGAAAGTGTCAGGCCTCAGAAAGTGCTTATTCACACCTATCACCTTAAAACCCTTAATGATTTTCAGCAGTTGCTGGGGGATATAAATTGGACTAGAGAATATTTAAATGTACCTCGGTCCAAGCTTTTGCCTCTATTTTCCATCTTAGAGGGCAATCCTGATATCTGTTCACCTAGAGTCGTGACCCCGGCTGCATTGCAGGCACTTAAAAGGGTAGAGTCTGCTATTACCACAGCCCAGTTACAGCGGGTGAATCCATCCTTACCAATCCTGCTGTGTATTCTCAAAACAAAGAATTATCCCACTGGAGTGTTATGGCAGGATGGGCCCCTCTGGTGGATACATGGAAATTCCATGGGAGCAAGATCTGTCCAATATTATCCAGAATTGGTAGCTGGCTAAGCATTAATGGGAATAAAGCTTTGCTTAGCCTACTTCGCGGGGATGCCAGACAAGTTGGTAGTTCCCTATACAAGGGAACAGGTAGAGGATTTGACAGCCACGGTAGATGGCTGGGCTATCCTGCTTTGTGCATTCCCAACTGTTATTGACAATCATGTGCCAAGACACCCCTTGATAAATTTTGTGGAGAAAAATTTGGTGTATTTCCCCAGGATTACCTCGCCTCGCCCGTTGGTGGGAGCTCTAACGATCTATACAGATGGCTCCAAGATGGGCAAGGGGGCTTTGGTGGCGGGAAATGCTAAACCTGTGGTTTTTCAATTTCGGCCTGATTCCCCCCAAGTCACTGAGTGCTTGGTGGTTTTGGAGGTGTTTCAGAGATTTCTTGAGCCATTTAATTTAATTTCAGATTCACAATATGTGGTCAATGCTGTGGCCTCTCTTGAAGTTGCAGCCTCAATTCGCAGCTCAAGTACAGTGTCCAATATTCTTTTACAAATACAAGAACATATTCTAAAAGGAGAAAATCCCTTTTATATTGCTCATATTCGAGCCCATTCCCTTTTGCCAGGACCTATGGCAGAGGCCAATGCTCAAGCTGATGGTGCTACTCGAGCTATAGCCCTTGTGGCTACAGATTCACTCCAGCTAGCTAGAGATTTCCATCAGCTCTATCATGTCCCAGCGAATACACTTCGCTTAAGGTTCAAGATCTCTAGGGATAATGCCAGGAGAATAGTAAAAGCCTGTCCCTCCTGCGTGACCATGCTACATCCCCCACATATTGGAGTAAATCCCAGGGGGCTAAAGCCAAACTCACTCTGGCAAATGGATGTGACTCATATCTCGGAATTTGGCAGGCAAAAATATGTTCATGTGTCGGTGGACACATGCTCTGGGATAATTCATGCCACCCCCCTAGCGGGGGAAAAGTTAACTCATGTAAAAATGCATTGCTTAGAGGCCTGGGTGGCTTGGGGAAAGCCAACCTGTCTTAAAACTGATAATGGCCCGGCATATGCCTCACAGGGCTTTAAAGCCTTTTGCAAGCAATTGCAAGTTGAACACACCACTGGCCTACCATACAATCTGCAAAGTCAAGGTATTGTAGAGAGGGCAAATATAAACCTAAAGGAAATTCTCCAAAAACAAAAAGGGGGAACAGCTGAAGCAGCGTCCCCCAGAGAAAGGATCTCCCTTGCACTCTTTACACTTAATTTTTTAATTCAAAACAATGCTGGAAAAACAGCAGCAGACAGGCATGTCCTGCATGAAAGCTCTACGGAGCAAGATTTGGTCATGTGGAAAGATGTACTGGATAACAAATGGTAAGGACCAGATCCGGTGATTACCAGATCCAGGGGAACTATTTGTGTTTTCCCCCAGAATCGAGAGGATCCAATCTGGGTGCCAGCAAGACTGATCAGAGAAGTGATGGGTGCTGCAAAGGATGAAGATGATCCAGTGGATGCTGAATGCCCTACTGTGGACAATTCATGCGGAAGCAGCAAGGATGACCCTCTGGGTGGTAACAAGAGCATCTGTTTCGCATTATCACCTTAAGCAGCACCCGTGTGCAGCCTCTCACCTTTGAGCACTGCCTTTTCCTTTCTTAAGGAATGGGTGAGAGTAGGAATATTTTTGGTATGCTGCCTAGGTGGATGTGCGGTATGTCTGTGGTTGGTGTGCCGTCTGCAAGCCCAAATGTGGAGGGACAAGGTCGTTGTAGCACAGGCCTTGGCTGTCTTGAAATGTGGATCCTCACCCCAGATTTGGCTTTCAGCCTTAAAGAGCTCGTAGGCAATATGCCATGCATAGCCTTTGCACCCTCTAGGGACCAGATAGTCCCATTGCACAGAGGAAGGTATGCATAGGCGAGAGTGTGTAGATACAGCCCTTGCACTCCCAGGGAACAATTTGTCTCATTGCACGGGAAGGGTGTATCTTGCTTTTTCCTTTCCCTCAATCGATCCACATATCGTGAGGTGGGGACTTGATTGGGAAATAGGTTTTGCCTTATTGCTCTACAAAAACAAAAAGGGGGAGCTGTAAGGAGCTGTCAGGATATCACCATTACAAAATGGTGCTGGCGGTCCTGCAGGTTGGAGGTAAACAAATCCTTTTGATGTTTCTGTGTGGGGCTGAGCACCCTTTGCCTGCATTTGCACAACTGAGACTTGTCCCTAGCCAATCCCAAAGCCCCGGGCTTCAGCAGAATGGTATTCACCAATCAGGACAGTATCCGACTCCCTCCACCCTAGAAAAGCAACTGCCACTTGGCTTTCGTTCCCTCTCATTCCCCGCTCTCCCTTCAAACAAGAGGCTCCAATAAAGTGTGATCAGAGAAGAATCCTCAACTCGTGGTCATTCTTGCTTGCTGGTCAAGGGGAGCCCCACACAGAAAAATAAGAGAACTAACAGATTTTATGACTCAAATGGACTTAACAGACATCTATAGAATATTCTATCCAAACAGAACAGAATATACCTTCTTCTCAGCCCCTCAGGGAACCTTCTCAAAAATTGACCACATTCTCGGTAACAACACAAACTTCAACAAATACAAAAAAATTGGAATAACCCAATGTATCTTATCAGATCACCATGGCATAAAACTAGAAGTCAATAGCAATACTAATTCCAGAAAACCCACAAACACATGGAAATTAAACAATGCTCACCTGAATCATCAATGGGTCAAGGAAGAAATAAAGGGAGAAATTAAAGACTTCCTAAAATTCAATGATAATGACCACACAACATACCCAAATTTATGGGACACAATGAAAGCAGTGTTAAAAGGAAAGTTCATGGCACTAAATGCCTACATAAAGAAGCTGGAAAAATCCCACACCTGTGAATTTACAGAACATTTGAAAACTTCATAACAAAAAGAAGCAAACTCACCTAAGAGAACTAGATGACAGGAAATAAAGTGGGAGCTGAAATCAACAAAATAGAAACAAAGAAAACAATACAAAGAATCAATCAGACAAAGAGATTTTCTTTGAGAAAAATCAACAAATAGACAAACCTTTATCCAAACTAACAAAAAGACAGAGAAAGAATATCCAAATTAACAAAATCAGAAATGAAAAGGGGGATATAACAACAGACTTGGAGGAAATACAGAGAATCATCAGGTTGTATTTCTAAAACCTGTACTCCATAAAATTGGAAAACTTAAGGGAAATGGACAACTTTCTGGATAAATATCACTTACCAAAATAAAATAGAGACCAGATAAGCAAATTAAACAGACCTATAACTGCTGAAGAAATAGAAAGAGTCATCAAAAGTCTCCCAACCAAAAAAAAAAGCCCAAGACCAGATGGTTTCAGCTCAGAATTCTACAAGACTTTCAAAGAAGAACTAATACCAATATTCCTCAAATTATTCCACACAATAGAAACAGAAGGAACATTGTCAAACTCTTTTTATGAGGCTAAATTACCCTGATACTCAAACCACAGAAAGACATTACTAAGAAAGAGAGTTCCAGGTCAATCTCACTCAAGAACTTTGATGCAAAACTACTAAATAAAATACTGGCAAATTGAATCCAAGAGCACATCAGAAACATCATCCACGATGATCAAGTCAGCTTCATCACAGAGATGCAGGAATGGTTCAACATACAAAAATCTGTCAATGTAATTCACCATATAAAGAAGCTTGAAAATAAAAACCACATGATCATCTCATTAGATGATCAAAAAAACATTTGACAAAATATGAAATCCCTTCATGATAAAGGTCTTGGAGAGAACAGGAATATAAGGAACATACCTAAACATAATTAAGGCATTGTGCAGCAAGCCAACAGCCAACATCAAACTAAATGGAGAGAAACTCCCGGAGATTCCACTGAAATCAGGAACAAGATAAGGTTGTCCACTCTCTCCATATCTATTCAATATAGTTCTTGAGGTCCTAGCTAGAGCAATGAGACACAAAAAGGAACTCAAGGAGATACAAATTGGAAAAGAAGTCAAACTTTCACTGTTTGCTGATGATATGATAGTTTACATAAGTAATCCCAAAAAATGTACCAAGGGACTTCTACAACTCATAAACACTTTCAGAAATGTAGCAGGATACAAGATTAACTAAAAAAAATAATCAGTAGCCCTCCTGTACACAGATGATAAAAGGTCTGGGGAAGAAATAAGAAAATCAACACCCTTCACAATAGCCACAAATAGCATAAAACATCTCAGAGTTACTCTAACCAAACAAGTAGAAGACTTGTATAACAAGAACTTTAAATCTATGAAGAAAGAAATTGTAGAAGACAATTTTATGAGGTGGAAAGATCCACCATGCTCTTGGGTAGGCAGAATTAACATAGTAAAAACGGCAATCTTACTAAAATCAATCTACAGATTCAATGTAATGCCCATCAAAATCCCAGCAAAATTCGTCAAAGACCTCAAAAGAGCAGTAGTCAAGATCATATGGAAAAGCAAAAAACCCAGGATAGCCAAAACTATCCTGTACAATAAAAGAACTTCTGGGGCATCACAATCCCTGACTTCAAACTGTACTACAGAGCTACAGTACTGATTAACAGCCTGGTGTTGGCATAAGAACAGACAGGAGGACCAGTGAAGCCGAATAGAAGACCTGGATATCAATCCACACATTTTCGAACACCTAATTTTTGACAAGGAAGCAAAAAAATATCAAATGGAAAAAGAAAGCATATTTAACAAGTGGTGCTTGCATAACTGGATATCAACATGTTCTGTTGAAGGGCAATTGGAATTCCGGGCCCTCGTTTTTGTCCCAAGGCATGCTCCTTTTGACCTGTTTGAAAACAGAAAGAAAAAGAACAACATCAAGTTGTATGTGCGCAGAGTTTTCATCATGGATAACTGTGAAGAGTTAATTCCTGAGTATCTGAATTTCATTAGAGGAGTGGTGGATTCTGAGGATCTTCCTCTAAATATCTCCCGAGAAATGTTGCAGCAAAGCAAAATTTTGAAAGTTATCAGAAAGAATTTGGTCAAGAAATGCTTAGAACTATTCACTGAGCTGGCAGAAGATAAAGAAAACTACAAAAAGTTTTATGAGCAGTTCTCAAAAAATATAAAGCTTGGAATTCACTAAGACTCTCAAAATCGGAAGAAGCTTTCAGAGCTGTTGTGATACTACACATCTGCCTCTGGAGATGAGATGGTTTCTCTCAAAGATTATTGCACCCGAATGAAGGAAAACCAGAAGCACATCTACTTTATTACAGGTGAGACCAAGGACCAAGTCGCTAATTCGGCTTTTGTGGAACGCCTCCGAAAGCATGGCTTAGAAGTAATCTATATGATTGAGCCCATTGATGAATATTGTGTGCAACAACTGAAGGAATTTGAAGGCAAGACCTTGGTGTCAGTTACCAAAGAAGGACTGGAGCTTCCAGAAGATGAAGAGGAGAAAAAGAAGCAGGAAGAAAAAAAGACAAAATTCGAAAACCTCTGCAAAATTATGAAAGATATTTTGGAGAAAAAGGTTGAAAAGGTGGTTGTATCAAACCAATTGGTGACATCCCCATTCTGTATTGTCACAAGCACATATGGGTGGACAGCAAACATGGAAAGAATCATGAAAGCTCAAGCCCTCAGAGACAACTCAACGATGGGTTACATGGCAGCAAAGAAGCACCTGGAGATAAACCCTGATCACTCCATTATTGAAACCCTCCGGCAAAAGGCAGAGGCCGACAAGAACGACAAATCTGTGAAGGATCTGGTCATCTTTCTGTATGAAACTGCACTCCTGTCTTCTGGTTTCAGTCTGGAAGATCCCCAGACACACGCTAACAGGATCTACAGGATGATCAAGCTTGGTCTAGGTATTGATGAAGATGATCCTACTGTGGATGATACCAGTGCTGATGTAACTGAAGAAATGCCACCCCTGGAAGGAGATGACGACACATCACGCATGGAAGAAGTAGACTAAGCTTCACCAGAACTATATGTTTGCTTACTATCATTCCTTCTGATAATATATTTCCCAGGATTTTTGTTTATTTTTGTTAACATTTAAAGCATCTGTGTGGCATGAAAACTAAGGGGAAGATAAAATTTCTTTCTACTTGTGTGATACTATAGGTTTGATTCAATAGGTTGGTAGAACGTTTGTTGTAAGACGTAATGTAACCTATTAACTTTGTGGTCTGAAGTGTTTAGCTGTCAAGCTGGATCCCTTATTAGACCAAATAATTTCACTTGGAAGTGTTCTGAAATAGCATCATGTTTAAAAGAAAAAAATTAAGATGGCTTAAGTTTCATCTTAAAATTTTTCATCCCCTATAGTTCTGCATGTACTAATCTTAGAAGTAAGAACACAAGCTAAAACAGGAACCCCATGTGGCTTGTTTTCCAAAGTACCAAGAACAAAAACCTAAGCTTCCCTAGGTCTTGTAACTCAGCAAGGCTTGTGAGTGGAAATACAGTGCCCAATCACATTCTGCTTTAAAAGGTAAATACAGATGAGAAAAAAAAAGAATGAAAATAGACCCATATCTATCACCATGCACAAAACTCAATTCCAAATGGATCAAAGACCTCAACATAAAGCCAACCACACTGGAATGCAAACTCGTGCAGCCACTGTGGAAATCAGTGTGGCGGTTTCTCAGGAAACTGGGAGTCAACCTCCCTCAGGACCCAGCAATTCCACTCTTGGGAATATACCCTAAAGATTCCCTAACATACTACAAAAGCATTTGTTCTACTATGTTCATAGCAGCACTATTTGTAATAGCCAGAACCTGGAAACAGCCTAGGTGCCCCTCAATAGAAGAATGGTTAAAAAAGGTGTGGAACATATACACATTAGAGTTTTACTCAGCGGTAAAAAAACAATGACATCTTGAATTTTGCATGCAAATGGATGGAAATAGAAAACGCTTTACTGAGTGAGGTAAGCCAGACCCAAAAAGAGGAACACGGTATGTATTCACTCATAAGTGGATTCTAACCATAGTTAAAGGTCTTTGAGCCTATTATTCGTGACCCTTGAGAAGCTAAATAAGAAGATGAACCTGATGAAGATTATTTAGCTATCCACCAGGAGGTAGGAAATAGACAAGAGTCCCAGGTAACCTCGGGTGCATGGGGGGGTGGGAGGGTCGATGGAAGGGGAGAGGTTTAGAGAGAAGGGAGTAGGGGAGGATTGGGGAAAACTCGGTGGCCTGGGATGGGGGGGAGGGAGGAAGGATGAATATGGGATCAGGGAAGAATATATTTCAAATAAGGGAGTCATTTTAGGGTTTACAGGAGACTTGATTATATATGGGATCCCAGGTCCAAGGAGAGATCCCCCAGATTGTTCTCTGGACAGAGGAGAGGGTGTCTGATTCGGCCGTGGCCCATAACCATACTGATGTATATTTTGCTTATCACCATAGATCCTTCATCTGGCAAAGGACGGCGATACAGTCGGAGACCCACATTGGAGCACCGGATTGAGCCCCCCGAGGTCCAAATGAGGAGCAGAAGGAGGAAGAACATGAAAAACGAAATCAGTACTGCGAGGGATGCTATCACCCACTGATACAAGGGAACGGATCTAATGAGAGTTTACCAAGGCCAGTTGGACTGGGACTGAACGAGGAGGTGATCTAACCAGATTCTCGGAATTTGGCCGGATTCTCTGACTGTGGCTGGCCCGAAGTCTTTCTGAAAAGCCATTGACTATGATACTGGGACCTGTTTCCTCTGCATATACTGGATTTTAGGGATCCAGTCTGTTTGGACACTCACCTTCCTGGACCTGGAGGGAGGGGGGAGGAACTTGAACTTCCCACAGGGCAGGAAACCCTGACTGCTCTAAGGAATGGAGAGGGAGGAGGAGAGGGAGTGGGGGGAGTGGGAGGGTGGTGGGAGGAGGGGCGGAAATGGAAACTTTTATAATTTAATAAAATTTACTTTAAAAAAAAAGCCAGCCACACTGAAACTCATAGAAGAGAAAGTGGTAAGTACACTTGAACACATTGGCACAGGGAAACACTTCCTAAATGTAAGCCTAGCAGCACAGACACTGAGAGAAACAATTAATAACAATTAATAAATGGGATCTTCTGAATCTGAAAAGCTTCTGTAAAGTAAAGGACACAATCAACTAGACAAAATGACAACCTACAGAATGGGAAAAGATCTTCACTAACCCCACATCAGAAAGAGATATACAAAAAACTCAAGAAATTCAACACCAAAAGAACACATAATCCAATAAAAAATAGAGTACAGACCTAAACAGAGAACTCTCAATAGAGGAATCTAAAATGGCTGAAACACATTTAAGGAAATGTTCACCATCCTTAGTCATCAGAGAAATGCAAATCAAAACAATTCTGAGATTCCATCTTACACCTGTAGGAAAGGCCAAGATCAAAAACACTACTGACAACTTACACTGGAGAAGTTGTGGGGAACAGGGAACACTTCTGCATTGCTGGTGGGAATGGAAGGTGGTACGGTCCCTTTGGATGTCAGTGTGGCAATTTCTCAGAAAATTAGGAAACAACCTTCCTTAAGACCCAGTAATACCACTTTTGGGTATATATCCAAAGGATGCTCAATTGTGCCATAAGGACATGTGGTCAACTACGTTCCTAACAGCTTTGTCATAGCCAGAACCTGGAAATGACCTAAATGGCTCTCAATCGATGAATGGATAAGGAAAATGTGGTATATTTACACAATGGAGTACTACACAGCAGAAAAAATTAATGACATCTTGAATTTTGAGGGCAAATGGATAGAGCTAGAAAAAAATATTTTGAGTGAGGTAACCCAGACCCAGAACGACAGTTATCAGTGTACTCACTCATAGGTGGTTTTTAAACATAAAGCAAAGAAAACCAGCCTATAAACCATAATCCCAGAGAACTTAGATGACAATGAGGACACTAAGAGAGACTTATATAGATATAATCTACATGAGAAGTAGAAAGTAGAAAAAGAGAAGATCTCCTGAGTAAATTGGCAGCATGGGGTCCTTGGGGGAGTATTGAAGGGGAAAGAGAGGCAGGGAGGGGAACAGAGCAAAATTTTAAAAAAAAGAAAAAAGGAAGAAAAAATTAATATATCATTAAAATTATAGGTTAATAGATAATCATCTATAATAGTCAAGCTTCTTGTCATGTTAGTTTTTCTTGATATATAGAGATATATTTCAGTTATACAGATATTCTTCAAATCTTTCAAAGACTAAAGAATTGGAAATTAAAATGTTTTAAGAACTTAGACTTTTCATGACAGCAAGATACATCTGTTCCTGGCAGCACCAATTACTTCAAAAAGATGATGGGGCATCAAAGAGGCTTTTTATGGACTTTGTTAGTCATTTGTGCAAGAAACTGCTCTTTCCTGGACTGTTTGATTTTATGCTGTATGAGATGAACATACAGGACCCACAGAGAAATGACTGCTGAACATGCCTTAAGGTGAGACAATTCTTCAGAGTTCCTGCTTTATGAAAGAGTCTGCCAGAAATTCTACAGCACACAGAAGAAAGTTACTGACAAACTGCCAATAGATGAAAATGTCTTTGAAATTTCCTGCTTCACAGAAAAGTCTGATTGATACTATGGGCCTGTAGGCTGAAGATGGATGCCCCAATGGTACAAAAGAACTTTGGGTGACTGTCAAGGCAGCAAGATGTTCCTGCCAATTCTAGAGTTTTTGGAAGTTGCTTGCAATGCACTTCCTGTTTACTTAGATGATATTATATCCTTCTGGAGTCTTTAGTGGAGTTGAAGAATACATAGTAATAATTATAGTTTTCCTTAGTTATGATGAAAGATAAAGTAGATATAAATATTGTAACTGTGATTCTTGCTTGATACCTGTTTTGCTATATCTAACTTTACTATGTTAAAGTCAAAACTTCCCTTTCTATTTAGATAGAAAAGGAAAGATAATGGAGGAAGTCCTTCTGTAAATGTGTTGCTTTTATTGGTTAATGAATAAAGAAACTACTTTGAGCCTATAGCAGGATAGAAAAGAGCTAAGTGAGAAGAACTAAATTGAATGCTGGGAAAAAAAGCAGAGTCAGGAATATGTCATGGAGCCTTCAGAGGAGAAAGACACAAACTGACAGCTGAAACCTTGCTAGTAGGCCACAAGCCTTGTGGTAAAATATAAAATAATAGAAATTGGTTAACCACAGTATAAGTGTTAGCTAGCAATATGCTTAAGCTTTTGGCAAAGCAGAATTTTAATTAATATAGTTTCTAAGTGATTATTTTGAGAGTCTGGGCACCCGGAAAATGAACAAGCATTCTTCCCCAACATGAAGCCTTCTCCAATTTGACCCACCTACTCCACAAGCCTTTTTGAGTCATCTAAGAAATCTCCATCCTGTCATGCATCCCACAGCCCTGTCCCTATTTATACAAAACTACACATGGTCTACCCACAAATCCTACCTGTGCTCAAATATTCTAAATCCCTTCCCTTTTTCTGCAACCCAACTCCAAATGCCTTAAGATAAAAAGCTCTCTCCTGAACTTCTCTCAGGGCCACCCTACTCTGGCACTAGCAGCTTTGCTTTTCCTCATCTGGAAACCCTGAGAACTCTTGCCAACTTCTACCTCAGCACACACTCCTACTCAACTCCTCCAGCAGACACCTTCTATCTATGTCAGAAATCTTAGCAATGAAGTCCAACACCTCCAGCAGTTCCTCTCCATATTATATCAGAATTCTATGCAAGGTTCACTCACACTTCCTAGGTCCCATCCTGGTGCTCCCTAGATTTTGCCCACTATGTCAGTATTCATAATGCTACCTTCAAATCCTACCTCACCACTACAGCTCTAACCCCAGTTTGGTACTCTATGTGTCTGCCTACCTAGGACAGGATTCACAGCTGTGACTCCAATTCTTACCTCAGAACTCAGGGCCCAGCTCTACTTGTTCCTCAGCTCTTTCAATTCTACTTTCGTACCCTCAGTCCCAGCCACATCCTAGCTTTGCTATTTCTATCTCTCTGCCTACCAATGTCAGTGTCTATTGCAGGAGAGAGCTGCTTGTTCACCCTGCTGCCCAGTTCCCAGCCCCAAAATAATCACACAGAAACTGTATTAATTAAAA